TGACAAATGTTTCATTAGACAGTTCTTGAAAAATGCGAATTTAAATACAAAAAATCTTTTCGCATTTCAGTTATATAGTGATAAAACACATTTAAAAAATATTTTACGTCAAGCACAGGATATTTTCGGAGACGAAAGTGCCGAAATTTGTTGGAATTTGCCGATCCAACCATCGTTTGTTACACCAATGACAAACTTCGAAGCGGCGAAAATTTCGCATATAATAAGGAATGAAGAGGAACAGGAGAAGGAGATCAACCTCATTTCCTCCCAAAGTGTCCCTTCTCATCCCATTGTTCCTCCCGAACATATGATTCCCCGCACTTTTTGTTCCAGTAACACGAACAAAAAGAAGTATAAATCAAAGAAGAAGAAGCATCCAAAGAAAATTTTTTATGAAGAAAATGTTATGACGATGGCTGATGGACAAGATTTTCATTCCCAACCGTCAGAAAACAACAATCAATATACAAGTGAGTCCAAACCATTAATTAATATAACGTGTCGTGATAAGAAGTTTGTAGGGCTCATTGATAGTGGTGCTGCAGTGTCTGTGGTGTCGAAGGACACAGTTAATAGAATTCATCAACGAATTGATGAAAGCGATATGAAGTTGAAAGCTGTCGATGGTAAAGAATTGTCTGTTATAGGGAAAGTTAACCTTAAATTATTGATAGACAATGTGTTATTCATTCACGATTTTCTTGTGGTAGAAAATATTAGTCATAACCTCATCTTAGGACAGGATTTCTTACTTCGAAATAATGCGATAGTAGACTTTTATAATGAACAATTAATAATCAAACATATTAAGTGCAAGTTTAAAAGACAATATATAAAAATGAATAATGAAAGGAATAGTGATAATTCGGTGTATGATGAAAATTTATATTATGCCGAATAGGTTGATAGTATTATAATATTGTGTTACTAATGAGATTTTATTTCAGTTTATTGTTTATATGAATGTTTTAAAGCATTGGTGGTATGTAAATAAGGTTCAATACAATAGTCATTTTAGAATTTTATTTCAAAAGCATATTAAATATAACTTTGTCATTTTATTAGAAATTTTTTTTCAATACACATATTATAAGGAACTTTTACACATTTTGTTTATGACAGATCAATAGGTAGTTTCATTAAAGTATGTTCATTTCTTTTAATTGTTAGCTTTAGTGTAATTTGTTGAGTAGATGGATTATTGATATGGTAATAACCATAAGAATGATAGGTAACAGGTTCGATTCTCTGTTCAACTTGGAATTATTCAATTGACTTTGAATATGATCATAGATAGGATTAATTCAGTATTAGGATAGAATATATATAGTTAATAATGTATAATAGGATAATATAGGTTCATAAAGAAAATTCCCTTATTATAAAAAAGGAAACGGGTTCGATTCCCTGTAAGGTTAAAAAATAAATAAATGAATAATAATGTTAAATTTTGAAAATTTATCCAACTATGGAAAAGAGGCTATAAAGATTTATCATAAATGTTTTCTTGAATATTAACTTACCCGACTGAAGAAAAATGGTGTAAAGAATTTTACTAATATTTTCTTGATTGTTTTATGTACTACCACATGATGCGGACTTCCCGAGAGAGAGCAGGCTGGCGCTCATGCAGACGTCAGCGATACTGACGATGATCCACCCTGAAGATGATGGAGACACCCTCTACGAATTCGCGTCGTTTTCGTTTCAATTTGGTCGCGTCGCGTTCGTCAAAATCGTCACTTGTAGTAGTTTGACTTGGGGGTAGGGAACCCTTAGTATTCCATGGGAATTGGGTTTAATCTTGTTTGATGCTAGATGTCCTTACCCAAAATTTCTATTACGTTTGCGCATCATGGGTGTCTAATAAAGTACAAGACAATAAAGTGGTGGACCACGTCTGTATCTTTATTAAAGATGTACGAAAGTAAACATTATTTATAAATTCTTTTAGGTTTTGCTCAAATCCAGTTAATGTTTACGAATCTTAGGAAATAGTTTGAATTTCGTTTCGTACATCTACTTAGTATGGGAAGTAATGAAGTTTCAAAATATAAATTTTCTTGATATTTAATGGTTTAATAAATGGGATAGGGTAAAGTTTTGCTGATAGATGGGATAAAATAAAAATTGCTTGGGTAATTTAAGTTATAGCTAGGGTTAGCTTTGTTTTTTTGTTTTTGCCGACTGATGTCGATGTAAAGTAAAGTAAAGTTAAGGTTAGGAGGGAGATGTGCGAGGGATTTTGTTAAGGTTTTGCTCCCGTAAAGTCTTTGCAATAAAACTTTGCAAACAGTTAGGGTTCTTTTCCCGTAAAGTTTTTTTTTTTGCAAGTTTTGCAAATTTATTGTGAGGGCTAGTCTGTAGTAAAGGCCACCTCCCAGTTGTATTTATGTCCTTAAGCAGGTAGGGATTTTAGATAGGACTGTCGAACCCTCTCGATGTAGTAGGTAGGAAAAAAAAATTTTGTTCGGTCATCTGGTATGACAAAACAAATTTTTTTTTAGAGGTGCCGGAGGGATGTAACGTCCTTAACGTTATAACCTCCTTGTTTAGGTAAACTCTTTGCTTTTGCAATGCCTACGGTTGGCAGTTATATTAAAAAGTTAATGTCATGATTTTAAGATTTGAAATAAGGAATCGTCTGAAGGTTCCATTCTAGATTAGATCTTCAGGCACCAAGAACTTCCTCTCGTATTTAGATAAAATTTCTTTATATTCGCCTGAATGATAAAAATAAATAAATAATTTATCTCTACCAATATCGTTTAATTAATAAGCACGTCCCCAGGTTCTATCCATTCTGGGTAGAACTCTATAGTATCCACGGAAATTAACTTTAGATGCATTAGTACAATGAGATTCCGAGATGAGGATGATATCAAGGTTTTGCTGTCTTATTAGTAAGTCGACTTCGTTTTTGTTCGGTGATAAGCCATTTACGTTCCATGTTGCTATACGCAAGGATGCCATTAAGACAGTTTGGTTATCAGTGTGGTTATGAGCTGCATGAGTGTGCCCATTTGTTGTAGGATTATTTCGAACTTTTCGGATTGTTTTATGAGTATTTTTTCTATTGTGGTCATCTGAGCCTCTGAGCTTTGAGATTTATTGTTGTGATCTTTCTTTGTCTCCCACTTTGTTTGATTTTTCGTTTCTGCGGCAGATTTCACTTTCTCATTGTGGGTATGTAAAACCTTAGCGTATGTTGTAGGTCGGGATTCTGAATCTCCATTATATTCAGGGATAGGGTTCAGTGCAATTTTCGGCTTTCGTAGAGGTGGTGCCACTTTTCTTGAGAGGATTTCACGGTATACCTCACAGCCTTTATAATTAGCTGGATGGGCGCCGAAACACAATGCGCATTTAGCCGGAGTGTTTCTGTCTTTCTTGGTGCAGTCTGACGTTTTATGTTGTTGAGCGCATTTAACACAGCGGTGTGGCCTCATGCAATTGTTTTTCGAATGACCATACTGCTGACATCTTTGGCATTGGACAATCGTTTTTTTCTTTTTCGGATCTTCTATGACAACTGCCTGGTGGTAAACATATTTTAATTCTTTGACGGCCTTGTTATTAGGTCCTGGTAAGAGATTAACAAAGAATGTTGACGTGGGTTTTTTTTCCGGGCCATATCGAGCATTAATGATCTCTCCCGCTACCGAGTTCCCTGTACTTTCAATTGCTTCTACTATTGCATTTGTGGGAGTTGAATGGTGGAGATTTCGAATCACTATTCTGTAGTTCCTCTGATCTTTTCTGGTAAAGGTATGTCCTATAAGCCCCTTTTCACGGATTAGTGAAATAAGATTTTTATATATTTCCACCTGAGTTCAGCTAACTCTCATTTCGTTTCGGTTTACTATTTTGTAGGTGAATTGATCCCTTTCAGCAACACTTTCTAGTAATTCTGTGAGTTTGCCAACATCTTCTACACCATACAGGATAATTGGAGGAGGCTTGCTTGGTTTTCTTTCTTTGATTTGTTCTTCCTTGTCTTTGATGTCTATGGGTAAGACACCAAATCTATTTGAAATCCTTACTTCTTCGGGAGATGGAGTTTGGGTTATCTTTTTTCTTTTAGGGTTTCTAACTACTGGTATTCTTTGCCATTCCGGAGGTTTATGGGTTGTGAGCGGATGCTCATCAATTTCAAGATCCGAGTCTATATTCAAGGTTGTAGGTGGTGAGGTCGGTGGTAGATCACCTCTTGGCAGGTTTCCTGTAGAGTTGCTTCTAGACCTGCTAATAAACAGGCCAGGATGGAAGGCCTGTTGAATCATTCTTCTATTTCCAGTAACATTTACCGACACAGAAGCCTGGTCACCTACTTCTGTGCAGTCTTCGGTAGCAAATTTCACACTCTCTGGCCCGGGTACCAAAGAGCGCCGGGGGTTAGCCGGGTCGCATGACAAAACGCATTCCTTATTCAACTTATTCATTACGAGAAAGGGGGGGGTTGGGAAAATACTAACTGTGCTTTCCCAAGGCACTGTCGCCACGATGTTCAGAGGGGATTTAGTTCCTCTTGGCTTGTGGTAGCCATAAACAGGATATTTGACCGCCGCCTTGGAGATTACGTAAATAATAATATTCACGACAAACTGTGATTTTTGAGAAAAAAATGTTTTCACAGTTTTACGAATGAATGTTGCCGGGGCATTTGATTTTGAACTATTTGTGTTCTTTATTAAAGCATCGAACGCATTGTTATATCTTCATAACAAAGATACGATACAATGCAATATTGTTATATTGAGTGTACATGCAGCGTGTTTGAATGTCAAATTGTGACTAAAACGAATTATGGTCGTGGACCACAATTTAAGCGGATCACTTTTGAGCCGCGAATGCCGTATCTTCCCTTTTTTGTTTTAATCTAAGGGTAGGAGGGTCACTGGGCGGGCGCACCTTCGCCTTCTCCTACCTTCTGCGGCGGGAGGGAGCGGCCAAAGGTTTATCCTCCCATTCCCTCTGTAGGTAGAGAATATAGCATGTATATGTCTCGTTTGCTGTGTGGCATGTCTGTCACGTGAACCAATATGCCGTGTCTGTTGTGATAGTTGAATTCAGCATTCAGCCATCTCACAGACAAATAAACAAAATAATTCCTGTCTCAAATATTTTCAGTAATCAAAATAAACTAGTAAGTAGGCAAACTTAAAAAAAAGTTTATTGGAAACTGCCCTGTTAGAAAAACAAACAAAATACATGTGATGTGATACATAATTTAGAAAAAATACAGAGATATTTAAAATACAATTACAGAGAATATCCAGGGGCATATTTTAAAATAATATACAGACAATAATATTTACAGATTATTAAAATACAATTACAGAGAATATCTCTTAGCCCTAGGAATGTAAATACTTCCCTTAAAATATCATTTATAACACGATTTTGTAAAGCATTTTGTCAGCTTTCTTTACTTCCACTTTCAGTTTCTATGTTTTCAATATCCTCTAAGTTTAGGTTCTCCGAAAATTCTTCATCCTTTTTTTCACTTATATTTTTGTGTGGCCTTTTCAAAAATGGTTCATGTAACGCTTTATAAAGTTTTTTAGCTTTTGTAGCTCCAAATCCAGGACATTCTGCCAATCTATTCTCTGAGGCAAGTATGATATTTCCAAGTGTGCCAAATGTTTTTAGAAGAGTCATAGCATCAGTTTTATTTACCGGCTTTATAGATGACAATGCATTTATTATCTAAAAATAATTATAACTCATAGGTAGGTAGGTACATCAAATTAAACCGATCAAAGTTGCCTAATCAATTTCATAATTTTTTATAAATTCACTGAAAAATATTTGTAATAAAGAGTAGAATTCTATGAATTTTGGGTATGTCTTTCAGAGTTAATGTCAATAATGCAATAAAGGATTTATGTAGTAAATTCATAGTTTAACATATTAACAGACTTTATTTATAACTCAGTATAAATGAGATTACCTTCTGATGTGGGTCATTTTCCACTTTTTCCATGATGCTATCAGGTGGCTTGTTTTCATAGATTTTGTAATTTTCTATTATTTTAGCTGCTTCTTCAGGACTCCATGCTAGCATAAGGGTCAAATCAGTTAGAAGGCATATTCGGGTTAAATTTTTCAGTGGAGTGTGTGGATCTTTTAAATCAACCTAAAATCAATAATTAAATTAAGAATAAAATTGAAAAATAAACCCTATTAGCATTTGATTAGAAGCAAGTCCTTTATACCTGCACTAGGAGAACTCGTAATTCATACTTCTTGCCTAACTCTTTTAACCTATTGTTAATGTAATCTGGATTCATATTGTGATACCTTAGAGATAAAAATAATATGCATATTGTTTTGCCAACTTCATAGTCTGGTGTAACATCATCATATTCCCATGGTACATGTGTGATGAATTTCAACAATGGGTTGCCTCTCTGAAACAGACCACAATATTCATTGATTAACATAATATAGACCAATTAGTGGTGCTGTCGAATTAAATTAAACAATAAGAGCAGAAATATCTTTTCGCTTACCTGCTTCTGATTAACCAGCACACAGTGTGTTTTTGAAGATGAGGGTTTGGGTATTGTATCCTTACTCGTACCTGTTAAATCAAAAATAAATGAAGTTTTATAAAAATAATTTATTTATAAAAATAAAGTAAAACAAGTTGAATATATACCGGGTAGCTGATGGATATTGGGTGGTGATATTGTTTCTAACTTTGCTTGTTTTGGAGAAGTTGGTTCACAAATCTCTGCCAGTAAATCGTCCAAACCATCATCTAGCATTTTTCCTTCTTTTTTCCGTTTTTTGTTCTTTGCTTCCGTTTACTTAGCTATTAACAAACTTGACAAAACGTTGTTTATCCGCAACAAGACAAAAACCAAAACAGCTGATTTCTCTCTCGGTTCGGCTTGGTCGGTCGGCGCTTGGTTGACCGTTGACCGCATTCAGACGACAAAATGTCAAAGTTATCTTTCATCTCAGTCTATTGCTATGGTAAAGAAAATGACAGCATCAACTTTATGACATTGACAAAGACTTTTCAAAAATCAAGTTTATGTGAGCGATCCGTTTTAAAGTTTTATCATTGCTTTTAAAACAACATATTATTTTTAATTTGGTGATAAATGACCTTTATTGCTATAACAACATAAAAATAATAATTATGATAATAAGCAATCCAGTTTTTAAAACATTTACAAAACAAAGCTTAAGTTTGATAGATTTATGTTATGAACGTGCCTAACCTAGCTTTATAAAGTTTTCGTGTTCTTTGTTTTGCTTTTGTTTGTTTGTTTATATATTTTTAACAAAAAATGGATATGAGAAATTAACTTGACTAATAATGTATTATAATTCCAAATTATGGATAAATCAGTACAAAACAAGTCTAAACAGGAGTGCATATTTGAAGAGGATGAGATTTTTGATGATTCGACTTTCCTGGCAAAATTTGATAGTGCTTCATTTAAAGAAAACAAGTTTTCAGAAAATAACTTAAATGTGTCTTTCAATAAAAGTGATTTGAACGTCAGGTGCTCTTTAATACCATAAATAATGTGAAGGTTTCTCCAGCACAATGTTTTATAATATTTTTTTTTTAATTTTTATTTTTAGTGCTCTTTGCTGTGATGAAGAAATAAGTGGTTTTGATAAAATAACAGGAAAAACATGGATTTATCCCACAAACTATCCTGTTCGAGACTACCAATTCAATATCATCAATGCTTCTATCTTGAAAAATACACTAGTAAGCATATTCATTTAAACTCACTGATACTAACATTTGTTTTATTAAATGTGTTATCAGACATTCTGCAGTTTAAACTTAAAGAAAAACACAATTTAAACTGACGGTCTAATATATAAAATTCTTGTGTCACTGTGTGCGTAATTGAACTACTCCGAAACGGCTCTACCAATTTTCGTGATATTTTACATGCATACTTAGTTGGTCTGAGAATCGGATAAAATCTATTTGTCATCCCCCTAAATGTTAAGGGTGGTCCAACCTTAAATATTTTTTTTTGGACAAATTTTTTGTTTTTATTTTTTTATGATATATCATACAAAAATACATATAACCCCTTAATTTTCATCTACCACCAGCCCCTATTTTTATGGCGGTACGAAGTTCGCTGAGTCAGCTAGTAATAACATATTAATTAAATAGTTCTAAAAAATATTATCATTCAAGAAGTTTCAATATTTTTAAGCAATTATCGTCAATTATTTTTAGGTAAGTCTACCTACAGGATTGGGTAAGACGTTCATAGCAGCAGTGATAATGTACAACTTTTACCGATGGTATCCACTCGGCAAGATAATTTTTACAGCTCCCACCAGACCACTGGTTGCACAACAAATTGAAGCATGCTATAATATTATAGCTATTCCACCTAATGACACTATTGAAATGACTGGTAAATATAAATAATATTACTGTTATTTTTAAGGATTTTCTGCAAATAAATCTTTAGAAAATGTTAAATAATTACAGGTCACATGCAAGTTAATACCAGGAAAACCCATTGGCAAAGCAAAAGGGTTATTTTTGCAACTCCTCAAGTCATTTACAATGATATTAAATCAGGCATTTGCCCAGGAGACAAGATTAGATGTCTTGTTATAGATGAAGCCCACAAAGCAAGAGGCAATTATGCTTACTGTCAAATTGTGTCTACACTCACTGAAATGGGACATAAGACATACAGAATATTAGCCTTATCTGCCACGCCAGGAAGCAAAGTTGAAGATGTAATAAATGTAAGTATTGAATACTACTAGCTTTTGCTTGTGACATTGTATGTGTGGAATTAATGATTTGTATGAGTATTTTTACCCCATCTGATTTTTATCAGTATGTTTACTGTTATTGATTTGAGTCAAGTTCTAAGTCTATTAAAAGAATAAGATTGTTCATACAAACTTACATCCCCTTTTTTTACCCTCTTAGGGGTAGATATTTCAAAAAAACCTTTAATACTTTATTTCTAGACTATAGTAAAAATAACAAGTTTTGAGTTTATTGAAATGTGCAATAAATTGCATTACACTTCGTCACCCTCCCAATCCCCATTTAGGAGGCAATTTAAGAAAATTAAGTATGACAAACTTTATAATTTATTTAGATAAGTACCTATTCGAAATAGACTCTAGACCCATAGGTTTGGGTTGTGCTTTGATATGTCAGTCAGTTTCTTCTTTTATATATTTAGAAAAACAGTTAAGTGAAAATAGCTAGCAGACTTGCTGTAAGTTAAAGTCAGAAAAAATCTCTTTTTACATTTCTCTTATTGTTATATTTACTATCTAATTGGTTCTTTTAATTTATTGTTTTGATATTTACTTACTTTTGCTTTATAAGTAAGATTTTGAACTTTTTTCTCTTCAAATAATAATCAATCATATTGTTTTAGGTTGTGAAAAGTCTTCATATAGCCCATTTAGAATTGAGGACAGAAAATTGTATAGATGTACAGCCCTACAGCCATTCACGGAAGATTAATACAGTTATAATAGCACTTGGTCCTGAATTGACACAACTAAGGCAGCTTTATGTTGAGGTTTTATACATTTACTTTTATTTAACTATAAAATATATAAGAAACATATTTTTCTTGTGTTGCTAATACAATGAATACAAAGTGTAGTTATAGATTTTAGATGGCTATGCAAGACGTTTGAAACAGTTCAACATTCTTCCTCAAAACCTAGGGAATTTATCCAAGGGCCGAGTTGTTATGCTCTACAAGGAATTTCAAAGCAAAGAAAAAAGTGCAAGGTAATTTTGTAAAACATAAAAAAATTCAGAACTATCCAAACCTTTTACTTATTATTTAACACCATATTTTACTCAACTTTCCAGACATGCACAGCATAACTATATAATGAAAGACTTTACGGTGCTAATTGCTTTGTACCATGGTCTTGAGTTGCTGGTCAAACATGGTTCTCGTGTATTTCTTAATTTCTTTGATGAACATCCTGAAAAATCATGGATACAGGCCGATGATAAACTTACAGCACTGTTGGAAAGACTTAGAGATGATCTTGGAATTGATCCTCTATCATTGAATACCAGCATCTTACCAGATGGAACGATACCAGAAGTATACCATAACATATACAATTTTAATATTATATCAATTCATTAATCAATCAAACTGAATTAAAATAAAATTCTGTTTCAGATTCCAAAATCCATATGCTTTGGTCATCCAAAATTTTATAAATTGAAAGAAATCATGCTAGACCATTTCACTACTGCTAAGAAGAAAGGTCAGGATACCAGAGCTATAGGTAAAATTTCTACTACCTAATTATAATTGTTTATAAAAAGGTGAAGTTTGTTTTAAACCTAATGGCCAGTTTATATTAGTTCAATCTTGAGGAAATTGTTTAAGTGTAACTAAGAGGCTTTTGAAACTTGAGTTCACATGTCCTTATGTGTTTTAGTGTTCTGCGAATACCGGGAAAGCGTAAACTTAGTGCACTGTCTCTTACTACAATGTCGACCCCTTATCACGCCGCAAATGTTTGTTGGACAAGGCGCTTCAGGTAAATAAGTCGCTTATCTTATACTATTGCATTTATATTATAACTTGTGTTAGCTACATAATAGGTTAGAAGAATTGTAAGGGCCACATACAAAGCTCATAGCAGCAGAAATAAGTAAATACTTGTAAAGGCCAATTATAAAGATCCATTGAATTAATTTGATGCAAATTGATTTAATTTAAATTTGAACTGTATAGTCCGATCCTATCTGGATTAATGAAAACATACCGCAAGGGTAAAATGTAAGCCCGCAGTAGTAATAAATGGAAGATTAATTGTTATAAGCTGTATTGGATTGATTGATTTGACTTGGTTCAAGTTGATTTAATTTAATTCTGAATTGTATAGCCTTATGCGATCTGAGGGGAAGCCCATAGTAATAATAAATAATTTCAATGATTCAATCTAATTTAATTTAATAATGTAATTTAATTTAACTTTAACTTATGTTAGTCACATAATAAGGTTAGAAAAATTGTAAGGGCCACATACAAAGCCCATAGCAGTAGAAATAAGTAAAGACTTGTAAAGGTTAATTATAAAGCCCAAGGCCCACTATGTAAGGCCCAGGATAAAGGCCATTTATAAGGAAATGTAAATAAGTTAATACAACATATAGTTTAAATCTCCACGACAGCAAAGGTGGAGTGCCTTAGGGATAAAAAAAAAACTGGCCACAATTCCAACGCGTACAAAGAAATTTGGTGAATTATTCCTTTGTCGCACTATCCGTAAATGAAATGCTCTGCCCACTCACGTGTTCCCTCCCTCTTACAACCTGGGAGCCTTTAAAAGAGGCGTGAAGAAGCAACATGCAGGCCGGCAGGGTGAGGATGGCTGGTGTGGCAGGTAGAACTGCAATATCAGCTATCTTCGCGTCTGGACTTCACCTTCACTTAACATCAGGTGGGGTTGAGTCATTTGTCGGACCTATCTATATAAAAAAACTACTTCTTTATTTCTTCCATTGTCCAATTGTAAAGGCAAAGACGGCAAAGCGGTGGTGTCTCAGAAGCAGCAGTTGCGTGTGATGCGCAACTTTCGCGAGGGCTCTTGTAACGCCCTCGTGGCTACATGCGTGGCTGAAGAAGGTTTGGATGTTGGTTCTGTGGACCTGATACTGTGCTTCGATATATCCACGCGTTCGCCTGTACGCCTAGTGCAAAGGTCAGTATGGTTACTGCCTTTTTATGTAAGTAATGTACCAAATAAATATATATCACGTTTAATTCTAAGCTACCACTAAAGATTACTGCCCCTCTAGCATGACCACCGAAACGGGATATGGCAAAGCGATATATCGGCATTAACTGTCAGACTAAAGTGGAGTTTGACAGTAGTCTGACAGTTAGTGCCGATATATCGCTTTATCATATCCCGTTTCGGTGGTCATGCTAGAGGGGCAAACTTCTATAATACATAACGGTACATACTTATTTAGAAAGCCTGTCATTCTGACTGGATATTAATAAAAACATACACTCACTACCTTTTATAAAAAAATGTTATATTTTAATGAATATTTGTTATTATAAACATTTTAGATGTGGCCGTACAGGGCGTGAGCGTGGTGGACAAGTATTCATTCTCGTCACTGAAGGCAGGGAACATCAGGTAAGTTATTAAATAATAAGCATAACAAAAGCTTTTATTTACAATTATATCGAAATATTCGAATTACGAAATTAACGATGATGTTATAAATGTACTCTATAAACGCACATAGATAAAAGTAAAAATAAAACTTATAACAGTACTGCTAGCTGTATCGTAAAATAACTTTTTAATAATTATAGTACACTTTAATTTTTTTATTCCTTAAATTAGGCTAGGCTGAATGTAAAAAAAGAGGCGCATTCGAAATTAATTTAAAAAATTTCTGCCTATTGATAGTGTCATGATTTCAGAAAAGTTTTGAAAAATACATGTTTGTTACCTAGCTACTTTGTATAATTTCGATTGTTCCTATGAGTGAAAATAAAGTAGTGTATACAACTGCATATAGTTTTAGGTATGAAACACTCGAGTCTGCATCCTATTATCTCATTCAACAAATTTTTAATAAATACAAGGGGTGACCTTACGGCTGGGCGCATGTGTACGGTTTCCTGATCAGGAATGCCGATTCGGAAACCTAAATGCACCTCCTTACATACAAAATGTTCAACGAGGCGCACACTAATCTTATTTTTTCAGAATGGCAAAAAACCTAAACTTCGGTTCGGACTTAACTGATAAAAATAACTGAAACGTCTGCGCTAGGCTCACGGAATTCTTAATCTAAATTCCTGATCAGGACGTGTGCTCCCAGTCGAGAACTCGTCACTATTGTGACCGGATTACATTTGAGCACAAGATGCAAAGCAGACAGCAGGTCGGCTTGCTCTCATCATCCACGAAATTAATTACTTAAACTTACCGCTATGCGTTTTGACAATTCGTGTCGCTAGTCGCGAATAAGTTCTGCTTATAACTGCGCGCAATAACGCCTGTAAATGTAACGACATTGTTTGCGTGACAGAAATGACGCTTTGTTCTGAACAGACTCCTTGCTTTGGCGCGGTGGTTACGAACTTTATGGTCTAAGGTATAGCTTAAAGCAAGGGATATAATATGATGAAGCTATCAATGTAATAATTTATTTCAGACATTATTGGACTGCATGCGCCAGCGAGATGGCCTGAACAAGAAAATAATGCAGTCTTCCGACGTGAAAAACAATTTATACCGACTCAACCCGCGAATGTTACCGCACGATTTCAAGCCGCAATGCCAAAAAATGTTCATCACAGTCGCTAAGAAAACAGATCCCAAAGAAAAGGCAAAAGCCACGGATAAACCTAAAAAGGTAAATGTACAAAACAAACTATTAGTCATTTAGCTCAAGTTAAATTGTTAACTCCTCTTACCCAACTTCGAATGAACACCTTATATTAAAATATATCTAAACATAATCTTTTCAAGATTGTTTCACTTAATTGACCTTTGGACATAAGGTAGTTGTTTTTTCACTTCTTAAATAAGTGATTATTAATTTAAGTTTCAATTACCTACCGTTTCTTTTATCTCGTGCATCCATAATCTTATCAATATAATTTTTAGGGTCAAAAAGACTTGCGGACAATGTTACTGGGTAAGTCATCGAGTTCCAGTAGCTCTTCTAGTAAGGAATTTGAAGTGTCTAAATTAATCACTGAAGAAGAGTTCAAAGATATATATCCTGAAGGGTTTAAATGCAAAACAACATTTATTAGTTCAAGGGAATTATGGGTGATGAATAAAGGTAAGTTTGTTTTTGAATTTGAGGTGAAATCAATCGACTTTCATGATCTAAACTGATTTTTTTCTGTTACAGAAGCAGTTGTTACAATGAGTAAAACAGATAATGAAGTAGACTTAAAGCTATCCACTTGGCTGGAATGGCAGAGAACTTTACAGAAATCTGTTAACATCGGCCATTCTAGAGACAGCGAGATTTTGGCAGATTTACTCCAGTACAGTGATGCCAAAAGATTCGACTTGCCCCCGTCTACACAAAACCCGAGTAAGTTTTGGTCTGCACCTTTCTTGTTATTTGGATAAATTAAATTGCTATTAAACATTTTATTTTATTTTAACAGCATTTTCCACACAAGATATTGGCAGTCAGGGAACGACAATGTCGCCAGTAAAAGAGAAACTAACTAAACAAAGAAAAAATAAAGCAATAGTAATGAAATCACCTTCAAAAGTAGCGAAATCGCCGGGGAAAAGGGATGGTGACATTAGATCACTTTTCAGCACTGCTACGAAATCTACGAAAAATTACACAAAATTATTAAATGATTTAGGTATTCAAAGTAGTGGCAGTCTACCCACCAAACTCATAACTTTATTAGTTGACCTAACTTTACAAAATACCAATAAGAAAACGACATGCTACCTTTGCGAAAACTTGGGTAATTGTAATTTTTTATATAATATGAGAGCACAAAGGAAATTCCCCCCATTAAACTTCTTAGTAGAACCCAAGTTACCTAGTATCGAATTAATTGACGATATCACCCCAGATTCTTTGGCAAACTACTCTAAAAACATTGTCGACAAATTATGTGAAAATGTACAAAATGAAAATATTGATAAAGGAGAAGAGAACTTTGAATCAGATTGTGATTTTGACTCTATAGACGAATTAAATTCTTGTATCGTTGTGCAAGAGAGAACTCCGTATAAAAATCATGCAATAAAGAACGAAAATCCTAACTGCAAAAACTTTGACCTAGATTTCGACTTCGATTCACTTGATAATTTAGAAACATCCCCCACTTTTACAAGTAAAATTGAAACACAAAATGAAGATACGGAGAAGAACTTTGAAATTGGAGATATAGAAGATATTTTTGCCGAAAGCAGTCCAGAAGAAATAGAACACAAAGAATCTGTCACAGAAGTTAAGATAGAAAAGCCTGCTAAGCAAGATGAAGCTTTAGGATTTTTTGGATTAGATAGCATTGATGATATTTTTGCAGATTATGATGACAGTATAGAAAATAAACCTAAAGAAATTGAACCTAAAGATGAAATAAAAGAAAAGGATAATATTAACAATAATAATCACCAAAATGTGAGTCCATCTATTTTGTCAGGTAGAACGAGACATTTGGCTTCTACATCACCAATTTTATGTAGTCAAAGAAAATTTCAATTGAGTACTAAGAAAAATACAAATTCAGGAAGAGATAGTAAAGCAAAGCGACAGCTCATAAAAGATCATCATGATAATACAAATAATGAAAATAATTCTAACCAAAAATCAAACAACAGTTTGAATGCGAGCAACAATAAAAGCATGTTCACGATAACACAAATAGTTGAAATGATAAACAAAACCGATAGAACATCTAGTTCCGTTCAAACGAACCAATCAAGTAATATGTGTAGGAATGGAGAAGTTTTAACTGTGGACGACGATCGATGTACATCGCCGATATTATTAACTCAAGCAGATAAAAAGAAAGCGAGTACGTCAGACAGTTCAAAATCTTATCAGACATTAACGACAGAATTAAAGAAAAGTGACAGTCTCATTATTCTGGACAGCGATAGTGATTCATGTAACGAAACTCAAATTTACGATGTCGATGAAAATGTATCGCATAATGTTAATGTCGACAAAAATCTCACAAAATATATAAGTATATCCAGTCCTTTCAGTAATAAGAGAAAATTAGAATCGGACAATGATGGTGATATAATCAACGCTTCGCCATATTTCAATAAAAAGCCAAAGTTGGACAATAATGACTCCAAAAAATTGACGTTGCAACAAAAAGTTTTAGCTGCCCTAATTTCGAATAAGGATAGTAGCTTCAAACCGAATAACACTGACCATGTTGTAAACTTCAGTGTTTCCCCCATAAAGTTGTCTCAAAAGGAGAACAACGACCCCCAATTTTTGCGCAGTGACACTCAATGCTACAGTGACGATGAAAAGGATTATCATAAAAGAAATAATTTAGAATTCTTGCAAATGTTTAGAAAAGACAGTAACGTTAAAAGCCCCAAGTCTAAGTTAAATTTTATTTCAAATGGAACAAAAACAGTGGCGACATCACAAAAGAGAAAGTTGACTTTTGATGACAGCGATGATGATTTTGTTGTTGACAATAATGATCGTAATTGTAATGACAAACAAAACGGGAAAACCAAACGCAAGCCCACCACAAACCGAAAAGTACGTAGAGTAAGTAAGCCTGCTCACTTACTAGAAAATTAAGTTAACTTAAAAGTAAACGCTAATCGTTTACTTTTAACGACCGACGACGGTTTTTTGACGACCTCCGTGGCCGAGTGGTTTGTGCGTCAGGTTTCATGGTGTCGCCGACTCTAGAGGTCCCGGGTTCGAATCCCGGTGGGGGCAGATGTTTGTGTGATGAATACTAGCATTTGTACTCCAGTCATGGATGTTTAATAGGTATTTGTATATAAATATACTTATATATGTACAGTATATGTATTCTATTTACCCTAGCACATAACACAAGCCTTACAGTGCTTACTTTGGGGCTAGCCTAATTGGTGTCAATGTTGGAGATATTTATTTATTAGTAAGACGACTTTTCTTATTGTGACAGAGTGACAAGATTCATTTTTAATCAAACTTAATATTGTTGTCCCCAAGTGTGCCCTTTTAACATCATCTTTCTCTATGGCTTGAATAGTGTCAACAGAGTACCACCCACCACGCGGGACTCATGCGGGTTGGTGGGTGCTAACAACTGCAGATGCAGCCGTAACCAACAGCTTAATGTACATTCCGAAGCACGGAGGAGATCGGGATAGTAAAGTTTTAGTCGCCCATTTTATGACTGGCCATTGCAAAAGTTTCTTAATATTTACTATCGCAGACCAAAGGCCATAGTGACAAACTAGCATAATTAAGAGCCGCCTGATAAAATGCGGCCGCCAATGCTATAAAATACCATTGCAGTTCAAGAGTCGTTGCCTCCTCTACCCAGTTTTATCCGGATATGTTCGAACTTTGACCGACTTTCATATTTGACCGGGTGTCAATTTAGTATTTATTTAATGAAAAATATATAAGAATGCCAAAACAGTATTTTTCTTGATTATATTTTAAGCATTTAACTACTAGATTTTAAAATCTAAAGATTTAACTAGAAAAAAATCCGCTCGGTCTAGGCAGCAGACAGGGCTCTTACCCCGCATTTGATATTGTGGGTTACCTATGCAGCCTAAGAAATACTAGAAGAAATTCGACATGCCATTAAGGTCGCGGTAGCATAATTGGTCAGGGCATCCGCCAGGAGAGGGCCCTATTGCTTTCTGGACCGAGTATATTTTTTTCTAGTATTCTTCATAGTAACTTTAAAATCTTTATTATTCGTAGAAAAAGAAGAGAAACGAGTTCCTGGATCTAGAAGCGGAGTTGTCTGGTTCCGGCTCGGGCGACGAGTTATCGGATTCGAGCGCGGGCAGCCTGGAAGACTTCATATGCGACGACGCTGACGTCACGCATCGAACCGATATGCACGCGCATTACATTCAATCCGTTAGGTACCTACATGCAGCCTGGAAGGCTTCATATGCGACGACACTGAAGTCATGCATCGAACCGATATGCATGCACACTGCATTCGCTCTGTTAGGTCGAAAGATCACCAGGGAGCTTAAAATGGCGACATTTCATGAATTAAGTTTCATTTGTGAATTCTTCAACTTGACAATAATGTTTCTTAACTGCAATCCCGCTATTTTAGACCCCACTTGATTTTTAAGCTACTTTTATATTAATTCACTGCCTTTTGAGAAAATATTGACATTCTTTTTTTTTCAATATCAAGTGACTAGCCTATCATTAATGATTCCACTGGCAAACAACCTTTGCTAGTGTGATTTATTATAGTATAACAAAATAATTTTAAGTTTTGTGATTACAGAAGTCCAGTTAAAGGTGTGTTCAAGATACCAGAGCTACCCAAGAAATATGACAAAATGGAAGTATTTTCACAATACGTGGAAGAGGATAACTATGAAATGGTATGTTTGTTGTTTAATATCATCACTACTGCTTCAACTAGACCAAGTGCATTTAATGGTTGTTTTTGGTTAACAGGATAGTTTTTGTGTGGATTCTCACATCGGATTGACGCAAGTAGATGATATGTCAGAACTGGAGTTAGCCGAGATTGCTTTAGAGGAAGAACGAAGAAGAAAGAAGAAAAGTCAAACTGTTATCAGCCCTGGACTAGATAACGGCGATAGTCCCATAGTTAAAAGAAAAAATAAAGTCACTAGGCAAATAGAAAGTGATTCCGACGATAGTAGTTAGCTCTGAGATAATTGTGGGTAGTTTAAGAAAATTTATATTCTCCAGCTGGCCTGAATCGCCAATTTATACTGTGATATAATGAAAGTGCTGTTTTTAGAGCGTAAGTTTATCTTTTAATACTATTATACCAATGATTGTATTGTAAATATCCCAATTATAATAAAATTGATTATTTGAATTTGTTGTTAATTTAAAATGTGAATGTTGAAAGTGAATAGGTATCTACAACATTTTGATCATGCAATAAAACCAAACCATTCCAATTTTTACATTTAATTTTATTTAAATTACATAAACATGTATATTTCTCTGTAATATGCTATTTAACCTTTTACTATCATGAAATAATCATCTTGTTCTGTTACAATTTGTATTGACATTTAACACTGTTGATTCGGAAATGTACTATTTTCATCAGTCTGTCAATAAATAACTCTGTTAAAATGATGATGTAATTTTATTCAGCTATTTAATAAATATTACTCTTCTGCACTCTTCGCTTCTGGCTCCTTTGGTTGTCTCCCTTTATGTATGTCTTCCAGTTCTGCCTGAAGTTCGCCATATTTCTTCTGCAATTGTTTCTCACGGTCTGTTTGACGGTTCACGTCCTCTGTCAATGACTGCAAACAAATACAAAGCAAAAATAATGCGCGACTCTAATATTATTTGATAAATACTCAGTAGGATCACTAAGATTAACTGTTTATTGTAAGAGAAAATCGATGAGCCGGTTCAGGCAATAAAACAAAGAACCGTTGCTTTCATAAATTTCGTAATATCTGGTGACAGGATGGGCGAAATTACCCATTTCCTCATGGTTATACTAGTGTGACCACGAGGAAGTCCTATTTCTCTTACTCCTGCTAGTAGGACAAATTATTAAATGATAAATTTTCATGCTCTCTTATGTCAAGTTCGAAGTTAAGATAGGTGTAAAAAAAACGGCCAATTGCGAGTCGGACTCGCGCACCGAGGGTCCCGTACAAACCTGCAGGTATATTTTATTTTAATAATTATAAAAAAATATTTTTTATTATATGATATAACTAAAAATTTACGTTATCGCATTTTTTCCTTTGTCTGTACTATAAGACGTTACTTCGTACCAAAATTCTAAGTTCACGGGAAGTACCCTGTAGGTTTTGATTCCCGTGCTAGTTTCGAAAATTTGCGGCATAAACGGCTGTATCTTTTGATTGCTTTGGCTTAGAAGTTTCATTTTTTCACAGCTCCAAGGGACAGTAGACTTGAGTATGAGATATGAATTTGAGTTTGATACCTCTACGCGTTCCTGAGAAAAACGGTGTTGACAGACGGACGGACGGACAACAAAGTGATCCTATCAGGGTTCCGTTTTTTCCTTTTGAGGTACGGAACCCTAAAAACAACAAAATGAATCTAAAGAAAATTTTGACTAGAAAAAATCAACACGGCAAGGTTTCCGGCAGGACTCGAACCTGCGTCTTCCGCTGTCCAGATGGATACACTAACGGTAGACGTAGACGCAGGTTAAAGTCCCGTCTGAAACCTTGACCGAGTTGTTTTTTTTTCTAGTATTATTAGACGAAAATTTTATTTGGTTTTTTTTCAAGAAAAGGGCTACCTCGTTTTCATACTAGTAAGACAAATTAGTAGGACCACTAGGAAACGGGTGTAAAATTTGCTATCTCGAATTTCTCCATTTGCACTTCTCCGGTTGCGTCTGCAATCATTAGCACTCACTTATTCCCTCTATTCCATCCATAGGAAAGCCCTGTTTCCCATAAGTTGTCCCACTTGAATGATAAACACACTTAATAGACAATAATGATGATACCTCTATCCTCCGCGGTATGGCAGCCTTCTCCTGCTCAGCTAGGAACCTGAAGGTGGAAAGCTCCAGATTGGCCTGCTCTATCTGTTCCTGTAACTCCTGGAATTGCTTCACTAGCGACGCCGCTCGGCTTTGATATCCACCTGATGATGAAAAAATAATAACGACTGAACCAACTGATTCCTGACCAACTAGACCGATAATTCGCTTAAAAATATCAAAACAGACAAGTTTTCCTATGCAAAGAATAAGTAATTACACTTGAGACCTTCTAATAACAAGAAAATTATGAAAATATGGATCAAAGATATTTGAATTTTGACCTTTATCTTCAATACAATAGATCACGTTATAGATAAAATTGGAATAGTCGTTTGAATTTCCAAATCACTTTTAAAATCATGTACCAGAAACTCTTTTGATTTCTTGACATTTTAAAACACACTGGTAAAGTAATAGGGGAAACATTGAGTCCATGGCCAAAACTCTAAATAATTAAATTTCAAAATTATGTTACAGGAAGGCGGCAAAATATGATTGTTCAGAAAATAACAAGTTTGTTTCCAGGGATACGTACATTTAAGCAAAAATCTACCATATTGTTTTAAAATAAGAAATGATGGGTCAGGAATCTAATTGGCTGATTGTATCTGTAACCTGACAGAATAGACTGAGTAATGTACCTGCCTGAGTTGATAGTTTTCTCGAAAGAGGGGGAAAAGTATTGTTCGACCAATGGGCAGAAAATTTTAAAAGATACAAAGCAGTCAGTAAATCGTGTTCAAATTTATCTGACAGCTGATTAAGTAAGAATAACCCGATCCATTCTCTCCATAAGGTATTAAATAAACGAACACTACGCATGGATTAATTACTCCATGTTATGTCTCTGTCTATTGAATGACAAATGGCATTTGAGTGACATGAACAAAATAAGGCGTAACTAGTCTAAACTTATTCCATGTTTATTAATAAGGGGGTCCAATGTTTATGTGTATGGCTTAATGGCGCGAACACATTTGGTCGTTAGCCCGGAAACAAGTGCCAACGGAATTCGCGTAAACGACTAAGAGTAAATGAACGGAGACAAGTACGCCTTCGAGTAGAATTCCTTTTGTTTACTCGATACCGTATTCCAGTGTAAATATTGCTTCGGGTGCCCGATTTCGAGTAATGTCTTTCGTGCATACGGGCTAACGACCAAATGTAATTGCTGCATAAACATCGGGGCTTTAGCACAAAACAATGCACAAATCTGTAAACCTATTTATTGAATGGATATCAGTTCGCTGATAATCGCAAAATGGTATAAATTACTTCATCATATACAATGGTATACATTATTATAATGTAAAGCGAGTGAGTTTCAATAAAATCCTAGATTTTTTGTCACAAAAATATAGCATACAAGCCATAATATTTGCCTGATGGTAAAGGTAAGTTATCCTCATAAGCATGCTATTCTTGGGAAAAATGCTAATGAAACCTTCTACTTAATATACCCAGAGGGATCGTATCAACAGGAACAAATATTGCCTTCTAATTAAAATTATTCTATGGTGCTTTGACATTTAAGAAACTTCACAAGAAACCTCACCTGTGATGACTCTTAGTTTCTTCTCCATCTTGGAACACTTTTTTGCTTCTTTGGCCATGTGATTTCTGTTTTGCTCCAGTCTTTTCTCAGCTGATTCTAATCTGTCCTTCTTGCTCGCTAAATTGGCACGTGTATATCTATTTTGTCCAGGTAGAAACAGAACCTGTGAAACATTTTGCTACCATGTAATACATATTGGACTACTTGCGCAGTTAAATATTGAAAACACTTGTAAAGAAACAAAACATTGCGTGATTAGGTCAACATTATTCATAATTTACATAATATAAAAACCAATCATTATATTTCCCTTGGTAATGTTATAACCTGAGGACAAATTTGTCAATTTTATCTATATTTTTATGATTTCTAACATTCATTTTGGTATAATAAGAGTGTTGAGCAGAAAATTTAACTTCCAACTCTACCCGATAGCTGTCGCTGCAGTCGAGTTTGAGGATTGTTTATATTTTTATCGGGCAAGACAACATCTGACTAGGCCGCTTGGTTATTATATAACGTGTATAAGAAATAACGCACACCCTGAAGGCAGTTAGTTACAAATATAACAAATAATCAATTGTTAATAAACCAATCAGTCATTGTTATTTCTATTTAATTAGTTTAACCACTGATATGTCAATGTTAGTTAAATTAATTCATGTACCGTTGTAATTAAAAATAGCCCTTACTATCTTGCATAATGTATTATATTCTTATATGTTTAATATTGATCAAATTTACGTCAATTAAAAATAATTCATAACCTCCTTTTTTTAATGTCGGTTACAAGCACTGTCCTGACGTATTACTACCATAGAGGTATAAGAATAGAGTAGGGGAGATATAGACTCTACTACAAGTGGAAGTGTCCCTCTAATAGAAAGAAGATGAGAGACCGCTAGCTTTCTCTGTCTAATCGCGCATGCGCATTGGCAACAGTAAGCATCTAATTATTTCGATGTGATACCATGCGTCACAAGATAGCTAGCGGCCTCTCATCTTCTTTCTCTTTCTACTAGACGGACAGTTTTAGAGCCGCCTTCCCCACTCCATTCTTATACCTCTATGATTATTACATACCTGAGCCAAGCACTCTTCCCAGACTTGCGTGTACGCATCCATGCTGAGGTCTCCGTGTCCCATTCCCGCCCTAACCACTTCCATTTCCTTCTTTAGTTCTCGTTTGGCAGCGTCCAGCTCCTCGGCTGTGAACTCCTCGTATGGATGCTGTTCTAAGTACGCCATATGAGCTGCCTGCAGTTGTACCACACGCTTTTTGTCTATACCTGTGACAAAATGCAGTGTCTGATAGATTACTGTCCTCAGTATTCTTATTGTCACGAACACAGATTTATATGAAACTCGGTATCCGAAGTACCAAGAATGATGCGGTGCGGCGTAAGGTTAAAGATCTTAACCTAAACGAGCGGAGTGAGGCACCGGTCGTAGGTACATAAAGAAAGTGGGAAGAGATGGAGGAGGCCTTTTCCAAAAGGCACAAAAACACTCACACTAATTAGCCTAGCCCCAAAGTAAGCACTGTAAGGCTTGTGTTATGGTATACTAGGATAACGGATAGAATTCATATTTTGTATATATATATGGAAATATATATTAAATATCCATGGCTGGAGTACAAGGTCGTATTCATCACACAAACATCTGCCCCCATCGGGATTCGAACCCGGGACCTCTCGAGTCGGCGTCACCATGAAACCCGGCGTGTAAACCACTCGGCCATGGAGGTCGTCAAGAGTTACAAGAGTAATAAAAATGAAATGATTGCTGGGCCGTAACCTTATTTCGTGACAGCAAAATTCTAATACCCCTCGTCTTTATATAAGTTTCATTTCAATAATGATTCATATTTATATTGATCCATCTCACCTGCGGGCGGAGCGTAGATAAAAACACACATTCCTATGATTAATCACTCCTGGAGGAGGATCATGAAAAGCGTCATAATGCTGCATGGTGAGCATCCTCGCCTTGAGCAGTTCCTCCGCGTGTTGTAGCGGAGTTACTGGTGCGCTGCTTCCAGTGCGCACTATGGTCGCGTTCATGTCGGCATTAACAGGATGATGTGAAGATGAAGTTTCTCACCTAGAGGAGGATCATGAAGAGCGTCGTAATGCAGCATGGTGACCATCTCCGCCTTGAGCAGTTCCTCCACGTGTTGTAGCGGAGTTAACGTTACGCTGCTTCCAGTGCGCACTTTGGTCGCGTCAATGTCGGCAATAACTAGCTGATGTGAAGATGAAGTTTCTCACCTAGAGGGGGATCATGAAGAGCGTCGTAATGCAGCATGGTGACCATCTCCGCCTTGAGCAGTTCCTCCGCGTGTTGTAGCGAAGTCAACGGCGCGCTGCTTCCAGTGGGCACTATGTTCGCCTTCATGTCGGCATTAACAGGCTGATGTGAAGATGAAGTTTCTCACCTAGAGGGGGATCATGAAGAGCGTCGTAATGCAGCATGGTGACCATCTCCGCCTTGAGCAGTTCCTCCGCGTGTTGTAGCGAAGTCAACGGCGCGCTGCTTCCAGTGGGCACTATGTTCGCGTTCATATCGGCATTAACAGGCTGATGTGAAGATGAAGTTTCTCACCTAGAGGAGGATCATGAAGAGCGTCATAATGCAGCATGGTGACCATCTCCGCCTTGAGCAGTTCCTCCGCGTGTTGTAGCGGAGTTAAAGGTGCGCTGCTTCCAGTGGGCACTATGTTCGCGTTCATATCGGCATTAACAGGCTGATGTGAAGATGAAGTTTCTCACCTAGAGGAGGATCATGAAGAGCGTCATAATGCAGCATGGTGACCATCTCCGCCTTGAGCAGTTCCTCCGCGTGTTGTAGCGGAGTTAAAGGTGCGCTGCTTCCAGTTCGCACTACGGTCGCGTTCACGTCAGCGGGGCGGGTGAGACCGCGCTGTACGCAGCTAGAACGGAGAGCTAGCTCGGCCAATCCTACACACAAAAACCAGGAATGAAGGAGACCCTAAAAAGCGTCATCCTAATTGGCAACGATCGTACGATGACACGATGCGTTATTGTCGTGCGATGATTTTGAAACATAAGGATTTCTCCAGAGCTGTCCTAATCCAGCTCGTAAGCTGGCGCACGAGCACATTATTTTCATTGCACGACGAGACCGCACGATCGTTGCCACATAGGACCACGCCTAAGACCCTAAGTAATAAACCACGATTTTTAAACTCGAAAACATTTTTCAGCAATAAAAATATCATAACACACTCAGTAATATTTTCTTTTTGCATATTTGGAGCCAAAACAAAATTGTTTTCAGTTTGAAAGATGATATAGTTAGAAAACTTTAAAACTATATAAATAGCAAAGTATAAAACTTAACAATGAGCTATTTTACCTAATGGAATATTATAGATTAAACACAAGATCGGGCAAGAACCTTTTATGTGTATTCTGAGAAAATTACAGCTATAGCTGTAATCGGTATATATACCGATTTGTATACCGATTACGGTTCTTGAGATACAAGTCGTCAATATATGGACGATAGGACAGTGGAGGATTAGCATACTTAGCGAATCTTTAGTAAAACCAAAGCCTAAACTTGCGCGCTAAACCTTTTTGTATATATATATATTTTATAGCGCGGTCTTCGTCGTCTATACGGTCTCATTGTCACCCTTTGGACACAAAAGCCTAAAAATGTAATAATCGCTACAAGCTGTGTAAATATGATAACTGTACATTTCATATAAAGTGCTTCATAGAGTATTTCATACTTGTTTACTACAGGTACTCGGTACTCGGTTTCAAACTTTGTTTAGGCAAATTTTGAACGACTTTTTTGTCTTAAGCTCGTGTTGAATGCATGTCTAACTTTTGGTGATAATTAGGTTTGCGTTTTTCTAAGCTTTGAGTGTGACTTACTTCTCTCCTCCTGGTCACGCAGCATCCTAGCATCAGCATCAGCCTGATCTTCCACAGAGAGAGAAGACGGCGTAATATCTGCCACTTCTTCGTCCTGCTCTGGCACAACTATTTCATAGTCGTTCCGCGGTGTCGGTAAAGACTGCAGTGCTGACCGAACTGAAGCCTTCAGCTGTGAGAATAGTGCTCAAGTTAGAATGAATACTGCTATACTCTGCGACCCAACCATGTGTTCTTGACAGTTCCGTAACGCATCGCTAGTTTCAATGAAAACTAAGCAACGCCGCTATAGGACGTAAGAACAAACTAGCTTTTTCCATACAGAATTTGACGATTACAATACTTTACGGAGCTGTCAAAAATCGTGATTGGGCCTCGGTACCTTTAGCACCAACCAATATCGAATTCGAATATTTTGCGAGTGCGAAATGTCAATGTCAAATTTTGTATGGAAACTTAAACAGCAGCGCCACAGCGGACGTAACGAGAACCAAAAAAATGAGTGCACATTTGACGTATATCTAGATCGAATTCAACTATTAGAATTCCATAATGTTTCGTGCTAAGGGTACTGTTCACGGAAACGCTCATAAGTCACAAAATCTACCTCACACTAGAAAGAAGGCTGTCATTGGTCAGAGTAGAGCTCGTCATTACTGCGGCCAATGAGAGAAAAGTGGTACTAGCTCGTTAGCGATCGACAATATGACTTCTGCCATGTTTTATGAAACACATATATAGATAGATAGATGACAGTGTGTTTTAGTCTGTTTACCTAAAGGAAGTAAGGAGGTAATTAAGTATTTATGTACACACTTCAAATGTGAGCTTTGCATTCTATTTTGTGCACAGTAATTAAGACTTATTCGTTTGTCACTGTAATAAAAAAGGGTCAGTCATATCTTATTTAGTAGAATGAACGGAATGTGATTATAGTACATAGCCATGAAATACATTATAGGACTTTGATTACACTGGCAAGAATGAGATTATAAGGCAATTAAAGCAGTCCAACGTCTTTTACTGTAGTAGATAGAAGTAAATATTAGTTTCACATGTTACCTGTTTTTGCATTTGATTCGCCACTTGGGGAGTGTCACCACCTCCTAATCTATCCTCCGGATTGATGCTAAGTTTGTCACGTAAGCCTGGTGTCTGAAAACATTAGAAGATATTCCGTAATAAATTGTTACAAAATGAATCGATAAATTTGAAAATAGTTTGATTTTAACATACAAGTAACCCTGGTTGTCCATTGGTAGCATGACTGGGCGTATTAAAACTACCAGGCGTTGACACTTCAGTGCGCGTAGATCTAGAACAAACGCAAAGTCAAATTTGTTTAATAGTCGCTTTGTATATCAGTTCCACGATAAAAGTAATATATTGTATGGTATTATAGTAATTTATATAGTTACGGGATTAACCATATACCAAGTTATTGAAAAAAAAAATACGATAGTTTTACGTGATAACGTGTCGTTCGCTGTTTTCCTTGGGGCAAACAGTTTTGTGGAGCTTTTTGTTTCGGTTCGTTTGAGCTCAAACACACCTCTGTAACTCTATGGGGTCCTGAGTTAGGCTCCGCAGGGATAAGGTATTCCACGAAAGGGAGAGAGAGGGGAGAGTAAGGGGATGGAGGGGTCCAAGGAACATCTTGACCTCACCTTACACACACCGCGGAACATTGAACTAACTCGTGACAACGTGACATGACGTCACACTTTTTCATGCATGCAACCGGTGTTCATCGATTTATAAGACGTTGTCACGTCAACAAGGTATATGGTAGCCGTCCAGCTAATAATATTAATTACTATGTTAGTAAGCATGAAAGTTTAAAACAATATACTGTATTGTACCTGAATGGAGTAGCGAGTACTGTGTTGGTGGATTGCAGCGGTGTGTTTGGAATTTGTAACGGTGTATTCAAACCGCCTTTTAATGGCGTATCCACGTGTGTCAGAGCCATTACGTTTTGGGCTTCCAACAGAACCCTGTCAAAGTAAATCCAAATTTGAATAAAAACAGCTCCTTTGACTCGTAAAATCTTAAGCTAAAAAATTTTAGCAATATAAAAATACTACATTAAAAAAATACAATATTTAAATCTAAAGAAAATATAACTAGAAAAAATTCGACGTGGGCCAGGCAGCAGACGGGACTATTTCTTCTTTCAAATATTTAATGCTTGTAAAAGTATTTATTTGACATTGTGGGTAACCTACAATGCGAAGAAATGGCGCTGCCTTGCAGCTTAAGAATGGCTAGAAGAATTTCGACGTCAGGGCCGCGGTAGCATAATTGGTCAGTGCATTCGTCCGGATTGCGAAGGGTTGGAGTCCCATCTGCTGCCTGGTCCGCGTGGATTTTTTTCTAGTATATTTTCTTTAGATTTAAACATCAAGTAGTTGTAGTAGCATCAAGCACTGTGGCCACTTTACGGCCATCAGTCGCGGTCGTGGCCGCAAAATTTGTCGTAGAAGATACGGTTGGGCTGCGACCAAGTTTGCGGCCACGACCGCGACTGATGGCCGTAAAGTGGCCACAGTGCTGGCTGTTTCTTTTTTTCATTAATAAATAACGCTGTAACAAAACTAATTGCAGAAAAAACCTCGTCGTATTGAGTTGCGAAACGATATGTGAAGCGTCTTCACACTAGAGCATGGTTTTCGGTAATACCGGAAAACTGGAAATACGGGACTAAAAAGTCGATATTGAAGAATCTGTATTATATTTTTAAATACCGGTTTTCGGTATTTTTTATTACTAACATTTTCAAAGACGTCTTTCGATTATATTCATTCACCAATACTAAATAATCATACATGACTGCCAGTAATACGTAACGAGGTGGCGCTTTATTGTGGTGAAATGGTTGCAATTATGTGGTCAATTTTCTTAGCTTAAATATGACACTTAATGCCTTGTGCTAGTTACGACATCGACAAAGCGTGTAGCGCGGGTCACGCTGGCTGCCCCGCCATATACCTGTCGCGTGGTAGCGCGGGTCACGCTGGCTGCCCCGCTATATACCTGTCAGAGGTAGCGCGGGTCATGCTGGCTGCCCCGCTATATACCTGTCGCGAGGTAGCGCGGGTCACGCTGGCTGCCCCGCTATATACCTGTCGGAGGTAGCGCGGGTCACGCTGACTGCCCCGCTTTATACCTGTCGCGAGGTAGCGCGGGTCACGCTGGCTGCCCCGCTATATACCTGTCGGAGGTAGCGCGGGTCACGCTGACTGCCCCGCTTTATACCTGTCGCGAGGTAGCGCGGGTCACGCTGGCTGCCCCGCTATATACCTGTCGCGGGGTAGCACGGGTCACGCTGGCTGTCCCGCTATATACCTGTCACGGGGTACAGCGGCTCACGTTAGCTGCCCCGCTATATACCTGTCGGGGGTAGCGCGGGTCACGCTGGCTGCCCCGCTATATACCTGTCGGGGGTAGCGCGGGTCGCGCTGGCTGCTCCGCTATATATCTGTCGCGGGGTAGCGCGGGTATCACTGGCTGCCCCGCTTTATACCTGTCGCGAGGTAGCGCGGGTCACGCTGGCTGCCCCGCTATATACCTGTCACGGGGTACAGCGGCTCACGTTAGCTGCCCCGCTATATACCTGTCGGGGGTAGCGCGGATCGCGCTGGCTGCTCCGCTATATATCTGTCGCGGGGTAGCGTGGGTCACACTGGCTGCCCCGCTATATACCTGTCGCGGGGTAGCACGGGTCACGCTGGCTGCCCCGCTATATACCTGTCGCGGGGTAGCACGGGTCACGCTGGCTGCGCCGCTATATACCTGTCGCGGGGTTGCGCGGGCGTCCGCAGCGCAGTGGCGGGCGCGGGTGTGAGCGCATAGTCCGCTAGTAGCGCGTCGGTGGGTGCGCCCGCTTCGCCGGCTGTTTCCCGCGCCGCTTCCGACGCGCGACCTAGCTTCACCACTTGCTGCAACTCCTGCCCGACAAAGCTTGAATTTAAAAACCTCTCGATTTTTTAATGGTTAAATAGCATCGCAAACGACATTATCTTTTAATTGCTATTATTAATTTAAATAATAAAAAGAGATTTCTTTAGCTTACTACAGTTCTTGATGCTGAACATTTCTATTTGTTACCCCCAGTGGTTTATATGAGACTATTTTTGAAACTAATTAAACAAAAATACTTCAATTTGCTAGAAGGATAATTTAAAGAATCATAAAGAGACATAAGTACTACATTGACAATAAAGTAAGGCCCTTATAAAAATCAGAATCGGTTTCACTTCTAGCCATAATGTTTCGCTAATGCAAATTGCCCTTAATTACTACCACAATTTAGAACTTGGCAATTCGGTAAAGTACTTAACCTATGTTACTCAAAAGTTTAACAGGTCTGAATAATTTGTAATAAATACCTGATCAGACACTTGTGGCTCGGGAAGTACTAGCTTGCTGCGTTTGCGGGCTGGCTGGTCTCCTTGAAGCATCGCTTGGGGCATGTCGTTTTCCTTGCGCTGTTTGAGCTTTTGCTTGTCTTTGCGGCGGTCACGCTGTTCATAAATATCATATTCCAAATGTTTACAACTTAAACAATATCTAATTATGATAAAATGTAAGGAGACCCAGGTTCAGCACATCTTATTAATTAAATCAAAATAGAAGTTGAATCCTCACCTCTTCCTTTTCAGATTGTAATTCCCCATCGAGGTGCTGCTGTCTCAAACGGGAGAAGTCTGGAGCCATTGGATCTACAACCTCAGTGGAGGTGTCATAGAAACCAGGTGCAGGCCTCTTCTCAAATGGGATCTCCGAATTATAATCCACACCACGTTTTTTCTTACGTCTGTATAAATAAACATTGCAATCACAAAACCTCTTTACAATATAGTGAAACAGTGGCTAGTGGTGTCGATTCTGACATGATTATTTAAATGTAAAACTAAACTTAACATCAGTACCTCCTTTTCATTCTGTGTAGAGAATGACAAGAATACACTGTTGCCAAATTTTATTTTAGGTTTAGAGAACAGATTATGACATGGTCCTCTAAACTAAAAACTAAATTTGACAACAGTGTATCTTTGCCATTAACTGGCTTATTTTTTTATTAATGGGATTACTTAATATTTAAATAGATAAATTGTTGTTCTTTATTTCCAAAAACCTAAATACATAACGACGACAAGGTTTAAATACCTCCTATCTAACACTCAGGGTCAAAATGAATTATCCATGTCATTCAACTTAGAATTCAATTTTGTATCAACTAGCACAAACTTCTACACGATTTTAAACACACACACAAATTAAACTACAAATACCTACAAAATTCTGTATTTATACTGCTGATATAATTCTAACATAGAAAAAGCTGGTTTGGGTCCCATCTATTGGACATGTGGATTTTTTTTTTCAGTAGAATTTTCTTAACATGTAGCAGTTAAGTGCGTAAAATAAAATAAAATTTATTAAAAATTACGAAATTTTAATAACAAATGTAGTGTGTCAGTGACACAAGGCCTCACTCAGCCTCTACAGGATGTCTAGTATATGTTCAAAGAAATGCTGTTTCTAATCTTGTCCAGTCAGATCTGTTTAGGGCTATTCTTCTCTTGTGAACTCTCACCACCACTCCCACAAGCTCATCTAGATCATATAGATGGGCATCTAGTAACTTGCCATCCCCTGCTTCATTTTCAACTACTTTATTCAACTTTAAATATGTTAAAATAAAATAATTCGACCTATTCCTTGAAAAGGGTTATATGGATCATACCTGGATTTTTAAAATATTGAAGAACCGTCTTGACTCGGTAACAATCCAGTTTTGATCCATAGTTCACGAGACCTAATTTGTTGCTAATGACCTCTAGTATAACCCCTTTCAAGGAATAGGGCAAGTTTTCCTGTCCCCCTGTATAAGAAAAAATATCATAATGGACAAAATGCAAACCTAATAGGTACAGCAATTCCTGCAGCGCTCAACTCCCTTCTCTTCTGTAATGCTGCTAAGCGTCGAGCTTCCTCCAACTGCTTTTCACGGGCCTTCCTTTTCGCTTTCTTTCCTTGTGTATTGGCCAAACGAGCACGAGCTTCAGACAGCATCTCAAGCTCTTAAATAATAACCAAAATCATATACACAATCATATATATCATATAGAGTAATCTAGCCTTAAGCAAGATCAACTTAACACTGAATTGATTTTCTTTAAAATAGGGTAAAGATCAAACTATCATTATAAATATAGTTATACCAAGTGTTGAATTAATTATTTATTATTCTTATTAATACTCGGTATAAACAACATACCATCTTCATCCATGTCTTTAGGATCAGGTCTAGCTGGTTTAGTTTCAGGGTTTGGGTCAATTTCACCAGGTTTAAGTTTTCGTGGATCATCCCCCATATCTTCTCCTTCTTCTTTCTTTTGAGCTTGATCCCTATACCACAAGAAGTAAATCAAAAATCACCATAGGTCACCATATAGCCACCATACATGTAAAAGTAAGGAACAACAAACCATTAAAAATTCTATAGCCGTAGATTTGCGAACCGATGGCGTAGCTTTTCGACATTCACAAGTGCTTGTAACAGCCTAGACTGAATAAATGATATTGAATTTTGAATTTTTTTGAATTTTATATGAGACAAATAAAGTAATGTAATTCATTGTAATTAAAAATTCTAAGTGGAAAAGATAGCATACTAGCAATTTTTTCTTTATCATTAGCTTTGGAAAGGAATGGAGATTGGAAAAATTTGGAAGAAAAACTAACAATTGCAGATTACTTTTATGGTGGGTAAACTTTTTATTAAGAAAATATGTTCATAAGTCTAGCATTAACTTACAATAAGTATTCGTATCTCTCCAGGCATTGTGCAGCTGTACGGCCAATGATAGGAGCTATCGTTCGCCATTGCGTCGGCATCAGCTTGGCCAAGTGCAACAACTTTTCGTCTTCTTCGCGCGACCATTCTGTCTTTTTGATGCTGGGGTCGAGCCACTCGTACCAACGAGCTTTGCATTGTTTAGCAGATTTCCGATGAAGCAAGGATGCGATACGAGACCACTGGTTCTTGCCATATTTCATAACCGCAGCTTTGAGGATTTCATCCTAAAATATTTGTTTAGGAATATTAGTGATGTTACATTACAATTAATAGAATTTTATTATTAGGTAGTATCACCAACCTCCGTGTTGCGCCAAACGCCTCCTTTGATCATGATCCGCGGCATGATGGAAGATGGTAGTAACTTCTACTGTTGTAACTTACACAAATTTTATGTTTTACTTATTATCATTTATATACTTATTAATATAAGTGCGCAACTTTTAACATTTAATCAGAAAATCGATCGCAAACAAACGAAACACACGAAATGGACGTAGGTTTCACTGACAATGACATTTGCATTGCGTGACATAACAGTGACAGCCAAGTGACAAGACAGTGTTTTTTTAAGGTTTACGGCCGTGAGTAATGACAGCGCAATCGACTAGGGTTCATGATTTAACAGGTTACCAATAAATAACGATAAACAGAGTGGTCAAATTAGTGACGTCTTTTTTTAGTTACCTCGCAACAATTTTTTTTAGTTTCCTCGCACCATACATACGGTATTTCCGGATACTCCCAGTATCCGAAAATACCGTATGTATGTTCCGCGATTTTTCTTAGTATTACTTTAATTTAAAATGCTTTAATCATGTTTCAATGATTTATAGCCTATCCGCATTCAAAGGCCAATTACAACAAAAATAGGGTGATTAAGTACATTTTTTTTACGATAGTTGGTAGTTTAGAAGCATGCGGAATTTTTAAATTTAGCCAGAAGCTATGGAAACTGCGTTTTGTATTTTTAATTGAAGTTGAATGTTTGAGTAAATTCTACTAAAAACTAAAGTTCCAACTTTCAAGCCTTTTTTGAGTAACTTTAATTAATTTCAAGAAGCTGAGTTACTTTTTTTATTAAATCAACATTCAAGACAATTACGTCACAAACACAGACTGCAAAATACCTACTACGAAAAAAGATATGAATTTTTGAAACCTCGCTGGCAGAAATCATTAAAAATACACAAAAAATATAACGGAACATACATGTGGTATTTTTGGATACTCCCAGGTGCGAGGAATCTAATTATTGACGTCACTAATTGGACCAGCCTTCATAAGTCAACCAAAATATATATTTATGTCGATACAAAAGATCAAAGCCTCCGTTATCAGTATCCAAACGAAACCTCGAAAAAAACCGTTCATGAATTATTAGCCACTCAAACGTGAAAGGGGTGGATTTTTAGAATTTCTTTATACGCAATCAACTCAATCCAGGCCATCGCGCATCCTTTTTACCCGACTGCGCAATGCAAGAGCGCGAAGCGCGACGCGCAGACAGGGTATAGTGTTTAACAGTCTATATATGTATGTTTGTTCCTTTGTGGCACACTAGAGACAAAACGCCTGGACCGATTTTGATGATTCATACATCAATCGATTCGTCTCAATTATGGGCATGCTACTAAAGATATGATAGTAATCAAAATTGAATATGGGCAAAATTAGGCGCCATATTTTGAGAAACTAAAAAAAATAAGTTGACAAAATATGTCGAGTGGGGTATCACTGTCTAGATAATTGAAAATCATGTTTAGGTTTCTAACACCATTTTTCAGTTTATATGATTGTTTAGGATCTACAACGCTTTAAAGTTGTATATTAACCACTTGCGCTTTTAATTTCAATCTTACGTTTGTATGGATCTTTGTTCAATCCATTCAGTATTTTTTAGGTGAAAGAACCTAAAAAATACTGAATGGATTTTAATGAAACTTAACAGTAATATAGCTCATATAACATATATATAATAATTTATGTAGTTATTGAGAGAATTGACCAAAATATAACAATAAGTGTTATAAGAGTATAACATTAGACGGAAAAAAATCTCCCATCTGCGAGCCATTTTGGCCTGCACTGCAAAAACAATAAAAGTTCCATGAATATAATGTATAGTAAAAATGTATCTCTTAAATAGTTCTAAAAATAAGTCCGTGACACCATATATCTATTTTTAATGTGTAAGTCATTACCGCTAAAATAGTGAATCAAAACTAAAATATTATTTGATATCTATTTCCAAAATGCACATTTTGTATTAACAAATTATTTTTTATCAAAACAAATACTTTTATCGCTTTTGATATTTAAAGATTTTGCCTTTTATACTATGTCATTTTGACAAATATTTAAAAAGTTACAACGATGACAAAGTAATAGCGGGGTGTATACTATGTAGGAGTAGACTGCGGGAATACTAAGAGAAGAAATTTAATTTAGGTGTTTATAAACGTGGATAAAACCTAGGCGAAAAAGAAAAAAATGGGCTACTCGCAGTATCTGATCCTATACGAAGTACTTACAAATAAACTGAAAAATGATGAAAAATACATTATCATAATAGGTATTTATGATTATTGAATTTTAATGAATATACTATTATACTGTTTTTTTAACGATATTACTTAATGTTACAAAAAAGGATTACTTAATATAATGACAAATAACACATTTTACACTAGTAGGTACATACTTATTGGAATCCCTGTGTTTATTAATCAGCTCGCGATAATAGTGGTTTTGTAATAATTCTGCAAAATTCAAAGTAAATAATGTAGATTTTTATAGGTAAATCACCCCTTTCATCACCCTATACCTATAAGTATTGCGATGTTGTAGTTAAGAACCAAGTTCCCATCTACTTCTATATGGGAATTCATTCAATATTCGATTTAGCTATTAGGGCACGGAAGCGTAACAAACAAACTCACTTTCACATCTATAATATTATATTATACTTACTAGTGATCCACCCGGGCATTGTACGGGCGAAATTTATTTTATCGGGATAAAATATAGCCTATGTCACTCGGACAAAATGTATTTAAATAAAGAAAAATGTAATAATAAATAATGTAGCTACCTTATGATGAATTCATATTTGAAACCGGTTCAGTAGTTTGACAGATTATTTGTTACAAGCATACAAATCTTGCCTCTTTATAATATTAGTATAGATAGTTAGGATAATAGTATTTAATTGATGAAAAAGATTTAAAAATAACGTAGGTAATAGGTTTATTTGATTATATTTGTAAAAGTTACTTAGCATTTGTGCTTAAAAGTGATAAGTTATTCGATATTTTTTTATACAAAAATTTTTTTTGGAAAATAATTACTATGATTGCACTATTTGCAATACCTACTAGGCTGGTAGCAGCACGCTTGATAGGTGGAAGTACTCTTCATTCGAGCTTTACACTACCAATAAAAAAGGGTCGATCACAAAGTCTTTGATCTTCTATATGTCAACACGTTAACATAAAACTACAAAGAGAACTATAAATTGATAAAATAAATGAGATTGCTATGCTAACGTTATGAAAATTTTATTATGCGCCTTTAGTTTCATCAAATATTATAAACTTTGCTTTGGTGATTGCATAATTATTTAATTTAGCCATCTAAGGCAGTTGCCACCATTATCCAAAACAACACACAGGAATTACTGCTTTCTTCAACCTGCGACATATAGGTCATTGATTGGTATTGTATATAGGGTGATTAACAACATTTGAAGTTAACTTCTGGCATCTACATATTGGGTTTCTGTGAATTATGTAGGTATATCAAATTATGAGACTAGGATATGACACTGCATTTGTGTATATCACAATCTTAGAGCCGGACGTTGACATGCATGCAGCCACTGCCAATTTTAAATAGTCGACGAAAAAAAGTAAATGAATTTTATTTTTACTGCTAAACTACTAAAAAGAACATAAACAAAAGATTTTTGAATAAGTGCAAGTTTACTATAAAATTTACATACATTAGATATTTATGTAACGACTTGATTTAACTTCACACATTTTTGCGAAAATTGAGGCCCATCTGTAGCCTTGACCCCGCTTGACAAAATCTTAAATCATAGTTATATATTTTAAGCATATAACTCCTTGATTGTTTGACATTGTGGGTTACCTAAAAATGCGAAAAAATGGCCCTGCCTGCTTAAGAATGGCTGGAAGAATTTCGACGCGGCCGTCAGGGCTGCGGTAGCATAATTGTTCAGTGCATTCACCCGGATTGCGAAGGGTGCGGGTTCGAGTCCCGTCTGATGGTCCGCGTGGATTTTTTTCTACTTATATTTTCTTTAGATTTAAACATCAAACAAATCTAGTTCAGTTGGTAGTAGTCACAAATAAGATTACCAATAAAATTTATAAGGACAAATAATGGGACTTTACGAGGTTTTTAAAAGCGTGAATAGATTCTGCACGACTTAGTTTGACATAGTTTATTTTGCCATAACTCATAATTAAAATGTTTTCATGTATTGTAAAAATGTAATAAAAAAATGGTGACCACAGAGTTCCCTATTGTAACCGGAATAGTGATGGTATAATGCAACGGACGGACAAAACACTCCAAGAAACATTAGAATGCGTCACACCGACATTCTAATGTAAAAAAAGAAAATTAATACAACTAAAGACTAGGCTGTATGGGCATTGTTACCTTTGCCTTGTCTAAATCGGGAGAATCTTAAAAGTTAAAAATATGTTGTGACGGCGAATGGCGTTTTATTACCTACTCCAATCCTGTGCTCCAATCCAACAGCAGGCACTCCCTATTTTAATGAATTGACTGCAAATCTTGAAAATAATATTACTTACTCAAAGTAGTGCTAAAACAATTGAACAAGTGGCTTGACAACCAATATGGAAATCTTTAATTAGCGTGCAGTGGACAAATTACTGGTATGAATTACAACTTGTTAATCATTTTAACTTTGGTTTAATGGTTATTTAATCAATTAAGGTCGCTGTTCAAATCAAACATCAATTATTTAACGTTTATTGTAATAAAGATAAAGGATGTATTACTGTTCTCATATCAATAGCCCTAATCTCCGGTGCGGAAATTGTCATCCGACTTGTACCGGGATATAGCAATTTACACAGTTAGAACTGACTAGAACTTATTTGCTTTCCAGAAAATGTCTACAATGTCGAGGTCTGTTCATATTAGCCAGCAAAAGCTGGCTGAAAAGCTGATAATTTTGAATGATCGCGGTATCGGAATGTTGACAAGAATCTACAACATTAAAAAAGCTTGTGGAGACGCCAAATCTAAGCCAGCGTTTCTTTCTGATAAAGCTTTGGAGTCATCCATAAAACATATAGTTAGAAGATTTCCTAATATTGACATCAAAGGACTTCAAGCTATCACAAACATAAAAAATGAAATAATAAAATCTCTATCTTTGTATTATTATACATTTGTAGACTTATTGGATTTTAAAGACAATGTTTGTGAGCTTTTGAATATTATGGATGCATGTCAAGTGACCCTGGATTTGACACTGAATTTTGAGTTAACCAAAAATTATCTTGACCTTGTTACAACTTATGTATCTTTAATGATATTATTGTCAAGAGTTGAAGACCGTAAAGCTGTGTTAGGTCTATTTAATGCAGCTCATGAAATGGTGCACAGCCAAATTGACCCAAGTTTTCCCCGTTTGGGGCAACTGATAGTTGATTATGATGCACCCCTTAAAAAACTTACAGAAGAGTTCATACCACATCAAAAGTTGTTGTCAGGAGCATTAAATTCTCTTTGGCATGTGTATCCTGCCAGAAACCTCACTGCTGAACATTGGAGATCTGAACAAAAACTTAGTTTGGTCAGCAACCCAGCTCAACTCCCTAAACCTTCTGAAACTAATACAATGTCCTGCGAATATCTCTCATTAGAAAGCCTTGAGAGCTGGGTTATATTTGGTTTTGCTATTTGTCATCAAATGTTGCAGCAGGAGCATGCTAATAAAATGTGGGTGAGTGCTTTGGAATCCAGATGGGTAATTGCACTATTTCGTGATGAAGTTATATTTATTCATAGTTATATACAAGGCTTTTTTGATGGCATTAAAGGGTATGGCAAAAGGATATCAGAGGTGAAAGATTGTTATCATCATGCAGTTCAAAAAGCTGGTTACAAACACAGAGAAAGAAGAAAATTTCTAAGAACTGCATTGAAGGAATTGGGTCTGATTTTATCTGATCAACCAGGGTTAATGGGGCCAAAAGCTTTGTTGGTTTTTATAGGTCTGTGCTATGCTAGGGATGAAGTTTTCTGGCTTTTAAGGCACAATGATAATCCACCACAGAAAGTCAAAGGTAAATCAGCAGAGGACCTGGTGGATAGACAACTTCCTGAACTTTTGTTCCACATGGAAGAATTGAGAGCATTAGTTCGAAAGTACAGCCAAGTCATGCAAAGATACTATGTGCAATATCTATCTGGCTATGATGCTGTAGCCTTGAACCTTATGATTCAGAATTTGCAGGTGTGCCCTGAAGATGAAAGTATTATTCTGTCATCATTGTGTAATACAGCAGCAAATTTAAGTGTGAAGCAAGTTGAAGACAATGAATTATTTGATTTTCGAGCTTTTCGACTAGATTGGTTTCGATTACAAGCTTACACCTCTGTTGCTAAGACACCCCTAAATCTTGTAGATCAGAGAGAATTGGCACAGTACATAGATAAAATGGTGTTTCATACTAAAATGGTGGACAATCTTGATGAAATCATGGTTGAAACTTCTGATTTGTCCCTGTTTTGTTTTTATAGCAAAATATTTGAAAATCAATTCCACATGTGCTTAGAGTTTCCTGCCCAAAACCGGTACATAATTGCATTCCCACTTATATGCAGTCACTTCCAAAATTGCACACATGAACTCTGTCCAGAAGAAAGACACCACATAAGAGAAAGAAGCCTCTCTGTAGTTAATATTTATTTAGAAGAAATGGCAAAAGAAGCTAAAAACATTATCACAACAATTTGTGATGAACAATGTACTATGAGTGATAAACTTCTTCCGAAACATTGTGCACAAACTATTGCCCACTTAGCAAATAGAAAGAAAAAAGATAAGAACAAGAAGAATACCATTGATTTTGTGAAGCCAGGAGCTGAAAGTTACAGGAAAACCAGGGAAGAATTAACAACAATGGACAAGCTCCATATGGCTTTAACAGAGCTTTGTTTTGCCATCAACTACTGTTCAACTGTCAATGTTTGGGAGTACACTTTTGCTCCACGTGAATATCTGCATCAGCATCTTGAGACTAGATTCTCTAAAGCTTTGGTAGGTATGGTGATGTTTAATCAAGACACAAGTGAAATAGCAAAACCCTCAGAATTACTAGTAAGTGTCAGAGCATATATGAATGTATTGCAAAGTGTTGAAAACTATGTGCACATTGATATCACTAGAGTGTTTAATAACTGTTTACTTCAACAGACTCAAAGCATTGACAGTTATGGAGAAAAAACTATAGCATCACTGTACACCCAGTGGTACTCTGAAATATTACTAAGAAGAGTGAGTGCTGGAAGTATTTGTTTTTCAATGAATCAGAAAGCATTTGTTAGTCTCACAGCAGAAGGAGCGATTCCTTTCAATGCTGAAGAATACTCTGATATAAATGAACTGAGAGCTCTAGCGGAATTGATTGGGCCATATGGAATGAAATCATTAAGTGAAACGCTAATGTGGCATATTTCAAGTCAAGTGCAGGAATTAAAGAAGTTAGTTGTACAAAATAAGGAGGTACTGCAGATGCTTAGAACTAACTTTGACAAACCTGAAATCATGAAAGAACAATTCAAAAGGTTGCAGCAGGTTGACAATGTTCTTCAAAGAATGACAATAATCGGAGTGATTTTGAGTTTTCGACAGATAGCCCAGGAATCTCTTCTAGATGTTTTAGAACGAAGAATTCCATTCTTGATAAGTTCAATTAAAGATTTTCAACAGCAACTTCCCAGTGGAGATCCAATGCGCGTCATTTCAGAGATGTGCTCAGCTGCAGGATTGTCGTGCAAAGTAGATCCAACACTGGCATCGGCATTGAGGCAGCATAAAGCTGAATTGGAAGAAGAAGAACATCTAATAGTCTGCCTATTGATGGTATTTGTTGCAGTATCACTTCCTAGGTTAGCTCGGAGTGAAGGATCATTTTACAGACCATCATTAGAAGGGCATGCTAACAATATACACTGCATAGCACCGGCAATCAATCATATTTTTGGTGCGCTTTTTACAATATGCGGTCAAGGCGATATTGAAGATCGCATGAAAGAGTTTTTAGCTCTAGCGTCGTCGTCCTTACTGCGACTTGGCCAAGAGACTGATAAAGAAGCAATCAAAAACAGAGAGTCTGTATATTTGCTCCTTGACCTCATAGTTCAGGAGTCTCCATTCCTTACAATGGATTTATTGGAATCATGCTTCCCTTACGTGTTAATACGTAATGCTTATCACGAAGTTTATAAACAAGAACAAATGCTATTGCATTCATAATTGCAACAACTGTAATTTTATAGTTATTGGCTTTTTTATGAATCAATTAATGATGCTAAATTTTAGATGTACTGTCCATGTATAGATGAGATTCCATCGTAGACTTAAGGCTAACTTTTAGTAGAGGTAGGTAGTGTATTCGAGATTAAATGAACTTATTTTTAATTTTCACTAAAACTTGTTGGATTCACATTTCTAGCACAGTATTTTTTTTCTACAAAGTTTAAGTAATATTTAATGAGACTGGTAGATTATTCCATTGACATCTTCAAACCTTACTTTAAAAGTTATAAAAATTATCTAAGTGGTATGTTATCGATACTTATTTAGATTCAAGATCAACTGGGATATGAAAGACAAAATTACCCTTTCCACCAATTGACACTGTTTTTTATTGATTACGAAATTAGACGTTATTTTTAAAAAGCATAGTGTAGATTTTAGACCTTTGCTTATTTTAGAACTAGCCCATTATTTCCTACTTGCACCCACATTCAGAATTACTCAGATATAAGATTAATCCAGTTGTGAACCATTTGAATTCAAAAGAGATGGAATGAGCAACGATATTAAATACCCTAGATACAACAACACGAACAAAATCGTGACCGAAACCTGACCAAAAGGTACATTGGATGACCCACGAAGCTCCTTAAGACGATCGCGTAGTCAAAAACAATATAAGGCATTATTTAAATATTGAAAGTCACCTTTAATGCAAACTGCATAAGGACTTAATTTAAATGTGTGCGTCAAAGAGTAATGACAGTTCGAAATGCAAGCTCATAAAATTTTACGTCTTATTGATATAGGCGAATAATTATAGACTTTATTTCTTTGACTCTATGCGCCATTCTGAGTGCGCTGTTAGCAATATAGCAAATACAGACCCTGAGGAAAAAAGACTGCTATATAACCGACTATGCATTCGAATATCACAAATATTTTCTATTAAATCAGTTTATAGTAAGTTTTAGAACAAAACTTATTCAAATGCGTCAAATTAACAAACATTGATTAGATAGATACATGTCGAAAAAACTACATTCTTCGGACTATTTCACATTTTTTCATACAGCTCTGCGGCATCTTAACTTTTAACGGGCCGCGCGTGTCTGTGAATCAAGAAGTGATTGAATGGTGTTCAAGCACTTCTTGATAGGGATACATTTTGAGCGCACGTGGTGTATCTAGGGTATTTAATTTAGTTGGGAATGTGGCTTAAAATGAGAAAGAATGTTAATGCATGTGGGTCATAAAGGCGATCGAGATATAAAATAGACTTTATATTGATTATGATAACAAAATTGTAATAGATTTCTCCATTTGATCTTAAATGCCTAATCATAATAAGATTAAACTGGATTATTACAATTATTAATAAAACATGTTCTTTTTATGAAAATTTTATAAACGTTTGTACCTAAGATTTTTGTTTGTAAGAGTTTATGTATGCTTAATTTAATATTATAATTACGATTATGATTGCTCTTTCTTTAGACTTCCGGGAGTCGTGGATATTGTATGTTAAATGTCTATTATCAGTTTGTAAACTTAATAAACACAGGTCATTATATTCGTTTCTCCTTAATATTCTTGTTAACATGTGGTATTGTTTTAAATAAGGTACTGGAGAGATATTTGTGCAAGATGGTATTCACATTTCAAACAAAAAATAACTTATTATCTCAAAGCTATGATTTGTTTTTGATTTATCATCATTTATTTTGTTGTTTCAGATGTAATTTAACATCACATCAAAGATAATAAATAAACTAATAACTTTTTTAGTTACAGTATATACATATATGAAATAATTTTCAAATTACTTTATGAAAGAAATCATTTAAAATAAACCACATACTTACATACTTTTTTTAAGAAAAATAATTTGAATCTTGTAATCAACCTTCTGATATTTTTTTTTTTTTAAATACGAATACTACTTCTAAATTAACCTATTTATGGAATCATTCTGATATTATTATAAGATCATTATTTTGTTGTATTCATGTAACCAGCCCACCTACAATAAGAAAATTGAATTGCCTTAAGTAGGTATGTACATTGTTAGAGGGAGTTTGTTTTTTGTAGGTACATAAAAAGTAATATATTTACTCATACAATATTTCTATTTCATTTAATTGGAGCTAGAACTAAGACACTATGTTGCCCTAATGTAAAAAATTATATGATGTAGAAAGCTATAAGTAACTTATAAATTTATAGAATGCCTGTAGGATAACTTAATATAACATGACGCTTATTTGATTGATATGTATCATTTGGGCAATTAATTTGGCTATTCGTGTTTGATATTTGTAAACTTGACACCAGTATGTCCTTATCATGCTCGACAAGGAATAAAAAAGGACAGACTGATGTCATGTTTACAAATAGCAAACACGAATAGCCAAGTAAAGTGCCGGCATCAGGGATGTTGCGAATATTCATATTTGTTCCCAGAGATCGTAAATCAATTCCAATGGCAGTTGCGTTGCGTTTCAATTGTTTTTAGCATCAATACAATGTTTCTCTTTGTAATCTACGAAATTTCCATCATCTACGATGGATGACTGAGACTTCAAAAATCCACAATATTAGTGATAGGTGTAAAGTTTAATATTAACGAAAAACATTTTCCTCGTAACTACATTGGTATGAATTTGATGTGTTAACATTTGACATTTCAAATCCATTTTTATTTATAAAAATCGTGACATATGAATAATATGAAGTTTAGACATAACTGTCGAACACATACTATACAAGTACCTAATCATACAAAATAATTTTAGCTATTTTTCACCGACATCATCTGTTTCCCCTACAACGGTCAACGCATTCCACATACTTAAGAAGGGGGTCCCATACACATCAAGCGTGTCGTCAGTCTATCCTGGGGCCCAATTCTCGCGGCATAGATATTATATCACCTTCGATATATATCGAATGATCTGGTTTTTATCGAAGGAAAACCTTTTTGCCCTATTCTCACCATGTCGCAATAGATATTTATCTACGGATGATCAGTAGACATACATCGACTGGTAAAGAGCCTTCGATATATAAATATCTATGGATCTTGGCGTGTCAATCTTGTTATTTCCACTTTTTTTACCTATTATTTTTTGTGTTGTCGTGTGTCTTTGCCAATTATTGTTACCTCAAGATGTTGTTAACTGCCTTCATAAATAATTAGTAAATAAAGAAGAAGGTAAACAATGGTGTCGATTCTGGCGTGATTCGCTAAACTGAAAACTAAATTTAACATCAGTCTCTCTTTTTCATTCTGTATAGAGAATGACAAGGAAACACTGGTGTCGATTCTAGCGTAATTCTCTAAACTTAAAACTAAATTTAACATTAATCTTTCCTTTTCATTCCGTATAGAGAATGACAAGGATACGCTGTTGTCAAATTTAAGATTAGGTTTAGAGAATCGTGCCAGAATCGGCACCACTGTTGTCAAGTTTAAGTTTAGATTTAGAGAATCGTGCCAGAATCAACACCAGTTTATATTAACGATGGATCAGTTGATTCATGTTTTCGTCAATGATTTAATAAATGACGTGATTGCTGCTGCTGTGCTAAGGCGCCGCCGTCGTGAGAGCAAGAGGGCCCATTTGAAATGAGGGACGCCGACTTCATAAAAAAATTACGTTTAAACAAAAATTTGGTTAGAAATCTTTAAAGTTATGAATGACATTGGTATCGATTCTGACACGAGTCTCTAAACTTAAAACTAAATTTAACTTCAGTCTCTCCTTTTCATTCTGTATGGAGAATGACAAGGATACACTGGTGCCAATTCTGGCGTGATTCTCTAAACTTAAAACTAAATTTGACATCAGTCTCTCCTTTTCATTCTGTATAGAGAATGACAAGGATATACTGCTGTCAAATTTAAGTTTAGATTTAGAGAATCATGCTAGAATCGACACCACTGTTGTCAAATTTACGTTTAGGTTTAGAGAATCATGCCAGAATCGACACCATTTTCTTATTGACGATACGGAGTTTTGGCGGGATTTCTTTCTTTAATTATTCTAAAATTCGTTCATAGTGGATATTGTGAAATGAAATTGGTGTGGTTTGGTGTTACAACCGTCTGCGCAACTGAAGAATTAGTGGAATCTTTAAAATATACGCTATTTCGGTCAAGAGGAAGCGAGAACTGTATTGTAGTGTTGACTACCTCACAGAAGCTTAGAGAAAAAGCCAACTCCATAAATTTCGTGCCAAACACTCCAAGAAACATTAGAATGCGTCACACCGACATTTGAATCTAAAAAAAAAGAAGATTAATATAACTAAAGACTAGGCTTTATGGGCATTGTTCCCTTTGCCTTCCCTGAAAAGGGAGAATCTTAAATAATATTGACGTTTCATTATACATAACGTTGAAGTTATATACGCATACAATTTAGGTAAAGTTGAGATTTCTTATACTCAAAAAATGTATACTCATATTTAATATGAATGGAATTCATAAAATATCATTTTGTTGCTTGTAAAATTCTGCTCTAATTTATTATTATTTTATATAGACTATGATGTTAACTTAATCGAGAAAAACGGAACGCATTCGTCAGAGAAAGAATATCTACGATAGATATAATATCATTGGAATATCGAAAATCCACGAGAATAGCATTTTTTACCATCAGTAGATATTTTCAATAGATATCCCTCCTTTCGATATTATCTCGAAGCCGATATAATATCTATGCCGCGAGAATTGGGCCCCTGGCGTATTTACTTTTGGGCCAATAAGGCCATAGCCTGGGGCGGAAGGCTGAGAGGGGCGGCTGCAAAATTGATTGAGCTAAGAGTTTGTATACACAAGCGTCTCGCAGCCGACGGCAGATGTTTCCATCTTTCGGCGGCAGCTGTCGCAACCCTTTGATGGTAGCCGTCGACTCGTCCGCCCCGTCGGCTACGAGCCTCTCGTTTATATGAAGCCTTAATCGGCTATTCTACGATGTTCCTCATTCCTG